ATATTTATTCAACGATAAACATGTATTTACTGCAATAAAGTAACAATATTTAATAAAATTTTACCACAGAAGCATATAACCTATAATATTCATCAAAAACAAGCTAAATGTTGGATACAATTTTCATCGGATTACAAAGGAACGTAACTTATCATCAGTATGGTGGAATGATGCAGACAAACAAAAGTGAACCTGGGAGTAATGGGCAGCTGTTCTCTCCTAGTTTAAGACTCTTCATCAGCACTTACTCGCCAACAGGGTTCGAACCCGGGACCTTCTCCTTACAAGATTAGTGATGTCGTGGACCATTAAGCCACTGGAACCCAGTGGATCCAATGGCCAGCGCATGAATTTTCACTTCTACTGATTCATGACGAAGCGCAACCACTTCGCGATAAGTTACTGCCTCACCTTCAACCTGCTGCACCCTACTGGTCACAGCTTCCCACTAGAACCCGAGGTTAACTGTCTAGTACTGCCAGGTGGCTTTCCATTGGTTCTCTAACTGATGTCAGCTCATAATGAAATTCTCCAAGCAATCATAGAAAATTCTCTGCATAAACCAAGACTTGAAAAGTGAATCTACTGCAAATAAGCCGTGGAGGAGTCAGGTCCTAGTGTCTGAATGGTCTATGAGATCGCCTTGTAAACTGAATCTGCTGAGTTCGAAACCTAATCGCTATCACACTAGGACACTGGAAACAGCTAGCTGCGCAGTACTTCTTGGGGGTTCTCTAACTGCTACCAGTCTGTGGTGAAACTTGAAAAAACTATTTAACAAGTATTTTAATTCAAGATAGTTGGTGGGTCTTCGCCACTCTGGATAAGCATCAGACAGCTTGACTCCAAAGATATTTTGAGACGATTAAATGATGCTTGCTTGATGTGTTATAAATGCATTGAATTGTTTAAATGTAATCACCAGTATTAACTCGGCAGCTTTATGCAGTCCGAAGAGTATATGTCTGCTGGCGTACATAAACGCTTGTTCCGACTGATGATTTCTCGCTTTCAGTGCCGTATCTTTATTCTCTGTCCATATGGTATAAGAAATCTTATTAGATTAATAATCGGATTGTTGAAAAGTGAATTATCGCAGAATTACATCACTCTGCTTTCACGCAACAGTAATAAACGGAACTTGCTTTTATTTGAGGCAGTATTCCACAATTCGTCAACATAACTCAGTTGAACACTTTTACGTTTATTTCCCTTGATGAATTTGAATATGGCAAGAAAAACAACAGTGGTGGTTTGTGCAGAATAGAAGATGGTACCATCCTTCTTTTTATTTCTATGGCCTCTCATCAGTTCAGCTGCTTACAGGCTAAAGTCATTATTAAGTTTATGTACAGGAACAATTTTAACATACTTGCACAGAGTTCATTTTTAGACAAAAATATCAATATATGCATACAGTGATAATAATAATGAAAATAATCACTCAATCCCAAACAATAATAACCATGCACAATGGAAATTTTGGCATTACGTAATCAAACGAAAGAGAGGATGACAATATCCAGTAACCAGGTAAGACAAGGAAAGATTGATAACCGGTTCTTCCTGAACACACAAATCGTGTTTCAGGTGCTTGATGGAGACTGATTGCTTCAGCAAACTTGAGGAGAATTGAACTCTTTTGCCTAGTAATTATTTTGAAGGATCTTGCGACGTCCACCTCATTATCCGTATCAAGGAGATGACTGTTAATGACACTGTTGAAAACATTTGTTCCCCACTGGAGACGTAATCCTTTTGGTACATGTTGAGAAAATCGGCGATATTTCCTTCTGAAAAATCGATTTCCCTCAGAATCTTGTTACCTGAGTTCCGTCACAAATGGGGTCATGGATAGACACTACTAAGAAGTCACAAATTAATAATAAAATGGATGAAAAGTTTCATTTCCTTGATATTGGGACACGACGCTTGAAATATGATAGTCTTCAGGGATTAGTTTACAGAAAGCCGACATAGAGTAGGCAATACGTGTATTTTAATAGCTTTGTCCAAATAGGTACCTATAAACGAACACTAGTCAAGACTCTGTATAATATACAGCTAAGAGAATATGCTCTACAGAGAAATTAAAGAAAGAATTTCTTACTCTCGAAAATATATTAAAAACAACGGTTACCTTCAGAGGTTCATTAGCAAGTATGGGAGATGTAAAAGCTCTAATGCCAAACAAACCACTGCTGGAAAAAACGTGTCTTCATTCAACTTGCTTTTAAAGGTGAAAATATTGCTGGAATAATCAATAGAATGTTGGATGTATCACAAGCCAGAGCCTATCCTGCAGCTAGCTGAGTTGGTTTCCGTTTGTCGGACAACATGCTCTTTGGTGCAATCAAAAGTTGACAGACGATCCCGTTCTCATGTTAACCCCAACTGTGTATACAAATTTACGTGTATCTGTGGGAACAGTTACATTGGAAGAAGATAGAGAAGAAGGGCGTACCTCCGATTTTCTCTGAACACGTAGCAAAAACCTTACGTCTCCAGTGGAGAAAAAATGCTTTCAAAAGTTCCGTTATCAGGCATCTTCTTGACATGGGTCATCAGGTGGACGTCGCGAGATTGTTCGAAATTATCAATAGACTGAAGTGTTCAATTCTCCTCAAGTTTGCTGAAGCAATCAGTCTCCATCAAGCACCTGAAACACGATTTGTGTGTTCAGGAAGAACCGGTTATCAATCTTTCCTTGTCTTACCTGGTTACTGGATATTTTTATCCTCTATCTCATTTGATTACGCAACGTCACAATTTCCATTGTGCATGGTTATTGTTGTTTGAGAATGAATGATTATTGTTACTGTTATTATTACCATCGTATGCACACGTTGATTGTTGTTTTAGAAATGAACTCTCTGTGTACGTATGTTAAAATTGTTCCTGTACATAAGCTTGATGATGTCCTGAGGCTACTACGGAGTGTCTGATGGATATTTTGCGTTACAATTCACTTGAATTACTGGAGTCAGGATATGAAACGATTCTAGTGGATAATATTGCTACTTTCAAGTCAGCTTTGTCAGCTTTTTGTAAATTTTTTATTTTTTTCATAAGTAATAAGACGCGCTCCTTTTAAATTTATATGTATACATATTTAGATGAAAAATATATAGTTTTTAAATTTAGGCTTCGTCGAAGACCAACGTGAGGTAACAGTTCAAAGAAAATCTTAGAGATCACTAACCCCGAAAGCCTTTCCAAGAATACAATGAGAAAATGTTGACAAGACACCAGTGTTCAGATTTTTTCATTATTCTATCTATGATTCTGTGACTGAGATGTCAGTTTCTGTGACCGTTCATTCATCTTGTAAACACTCACATCTTTACAAATCCCCAAACCTAACTTAAAATATTTCCCGTACATCACTTATTAAATACCTTCTTTGTAAGAACGTTTAGAATTTATTGAAGGCTGTTCACACTTCTGGTCTGACGGTACTCGATTACGATGAAAGTATTTGTTATGAATAACACAGATATTTTTGTAAAGCGTGAACCATAAACATTGTAGGATGATGAATTTGATTTAAGTTTAAGTCAGTTTTAGATTTTCCCGTCGATTGATTGATTGGACCGAAGTGCTCATTCTCCTTATGCAGATGCTCCAACTATGTCTGGTGGTGTAACCCGAAGTCAGGTGTTGGATGGTGACTAGCAGTGGAATCATCCAGGTTAACGCGCATTTAGTCATGTTTGGGACTCGTGAGCTGAATGTACCTGCACTGCCTAGTGAGTCAGTGACGATGTCCCCACTGAGGCTGTAACTCAACATCCACAGTTTCAAACGTCAAAGTGTTATCCACTAGACCACTTGCGCAAAGGGTCTCATTAATTATTTAATTTACTTTTGACGAGTCCCAAATAGGAGGAAATGAGCATGCTAGATTCCACCGCTAGTCATACTCTACCAATTAACTTCAGATTCAGTTCAGTGCTTTTGTTTTCATGTGCTCTGAATCTTCCACAAACACACTAAGTTGAAAATGTGTGCACCGTTTAGTAATTTGATGTCAGTGACAAATGTAGATAATTTGATATAGTTTCTTGGTACAGTCAACATACAGTAAGTATTTTCCCATCTTTACAACAAATATATATATATTACTATGGCATGCAGAAGCAGTAACCCGACTACTAAAGCCTAATTTATGCCAGCCAAAGGACTTTGTAGTTTGCCTTGCATCGCCCTGGCAATTAGTTTCCTCACTATTTCATTACTTGTTCCACCACTTTACCAACTTCAAACACTGTTCATCTTTTCAACACTTTTAGTCACTATCCATTATATTTATTAATACAGCAGTCTTGTTTCTTAGTTTCACCTTCACTGGTTTACCATAATTTCATCCCCTGTTATGCCATATATACATATGTGCGTTGGTGGTTTATGGGTACAATTCTCTCCGATCACGCACACGGTCTAGGGTTCGATTCCCGTCCGACGCATCCCTGAATCTCGCTAAGCCAGTAATAAGAGTAACATAGGGAGAAAGTTTAGGCGTGGTTTTAGCAACCTCAACCAGTAAAAATAAACACCACCGCTACAAAAACTTCAAACCTCTAGCTTGAAGCCCTGTATTCCACTGGGAACGTGAAGGAACATATATATATATTGTCATATTCTAACTGCCTTCTCATCAATTCGACTCATAATCACACCTTGTCAGTATTCGGTTGAACTGTTATGTTTTGTCTGGATGGAATTTCCAGTTGGATTTGTCATTGTGTGACAGAAATTTATACTTTTGTCAGCAATGTGTAACCTGTTATGTAGGTGTGAAAATAATTAATTTGTGAAGATAAATTTTTAACTTTAACTGTGTCTGTGGGAGATAAAGAGAAAACGAAATGAAACCGAATTCAACTCATCATCCTACAGTGTTTTTATTGTTCTTGCATTACAAAAATTTACGAAAGGAACTAAGTGTATGAAACTCATGAGTAGAAAATCATTACAAATACAAAAAAATGCACTTCCCACTAAACATTTCTTACCAGACATGTATCTACTGCATCTGTTCTGTTGAATACAATCACATATGAGTCAACTATTTGTGCAGCCAGATCATAACACTGGAAAAAGAAACAATAAAAAGAAAAGTGACGCTTTAGGTAGAATTAGAAAGAAAATTGTATGCTTATAGTATTTTGATTGGACACTAGTTAGTAACTATTGTAATGCGTCCTTTCCTTTACTCGAATAGGCTAGTGGTGATGTCTCTGACTGCAGGCAGCACTGGGTGACGCTGGCTTGAACCTCAGGAGGATATGGGTTTCTTCAAGATTGCGGATACTCCGTGCTGACTGGTGAGTGGTGACAAGCACGAAACCTAGGTTGGGGAAGGCTTCCTGTCGACTGACTGCCTTCAACCATCTAATGAAAGCCAACAGTCAGCTGGAGATTGTTATTCAGATTATCTTCTGCCGGCAACTGCCATCTTGTCGTAGTGGTTGTGCTTGAATACTCGGGCGACCCAACAAGCTACACTGACTGACACTTATGTTTCTGCGGATCCTATTATGCCAGGAAGGTAGTGTGCATGGCAGTTAGACGAAAAGCGATTATTACGTAGTATATGAACTCCAGAATCCAATTGGATAGAATGGCATATGAGCCTGTAATTGTCACTCGCAACCATGTGAACGTAGCTCCTGACGCTGCTCTGCTACCGTACGGATAAAATTCCAAGTCAACGGCTCGGAAGGAGGAGGGTTCCTTAAGATGACCATATGCTTAGATTTGGGCACTCAGGCAGAATCCCAATGAAACTGTTTTTTTGCTTGGTGCATACTGAATTCTGTCAGTCAGGTAGGCAATGTGGCCACTATCCTACTATGTGGCTCACCATCATGGTGGACGGTGAATTGTTCCTATGAGATGGCTGGAGGTAATCGGCAGCAAGCCTTGCTCAGCACTAGTCAACAAGGTGTATCTGCAAACTTGAACGGAGGAACTCATGTCTCTTCTGAGATTCGAACCTTCGTCACCACCCAGTGCCGCCTGTAGTCACAGACGTTACCACTGAGCAGCTATTCGGACTGGGCACTAGTCAGTAACTAGTGTAGTCTACCTATTCCATTGTTTGATGCAGACTGAATTCTATCACTCAAGTATGCATATAGTATTTCACTAAAGATTATCATCAATCAATAACGATAATCATTAACACATTTCAATTATTACTTATTTTAAAGTAAGTGAGTACAATTGGCTGAATACAGGAAGTAAATTATAATTTTAGTGACAATGCAACCTTGGGTGATCACAGAACACCAGAAACAAACTTTTATTGGCATTTTATTCAAGTTCTGCATAACTTGTCATCTTAATGAAACGTTTGTCATTACCAGTAGTAACTAGAGACAGAGGCACTAAAGGATTGTCTACATATAGCGAAATTATTTACACCTTATCTTCAAATCACAATTCGCGCAAAGATCTTCCGTGTTGTCCTACTTCTGTCCTGCGTATTGTGTTTCTTTGTCTTTCTCTTCATGTTTCCCGTGTATCTCCACAGCACTATATCATTTGCTTTCTTTGACGTCAAATCTATCTCCTTGTTATTTGGTGTATTTATGCCAATGAACGCCACTTCACATACTACTGATAAATCTCATCAGTAGTTCGCGCCACAGTATGTCATTATTTTCCATTTAAATATAATGACTTATTCATATCTAGATCTTGAATTTAGGCATATTGACTGAAATGTAGACAGAGATTACTGATGACAATGTATGGGTAAAAAGTTGCAGTTTGGTAGACCACTAACTATTAACCTACTTAAAAAATTTGCTCAAAGGGCTTTAAGTTCATTGAAATCAGGAATTTATAAAGATTGAGTTAGCAAGCTGAATGATTTCGGTGTACAAATATGTTTAAAACAATTAGTTCCATTTATGAATTTAGACAAAGCAATAAGAATGAAGACGCAATTTGTCTGAATCGTGTAATGCGTATTTGCGCAAAACATTTCAAACAATCTGATCGCTCACGCAGTTGACATAGGAATATATATGAAATTAATAAAGAGTTAAAAGGTGAAAAAATGAACTGCTTAGGTCATGTTAAAAGGATTAATTGAAGGTGAAAATAACAATGGAGATCACCAAACCAAAAAACAGAGGTAATAGTGCATCTACTCTGACTGGTATCAAAACAAAGTTTGCCAAGGAAGGTTTAGTGTGATGACAAATTGTTGCTTTGAACGCATAAAGGTGGTTTAAACTTTCTAATTGCAAACAAGGGTTTCCACAAACGTTAAGATGCGTCCCGAAAACGTTTTATAGATAGGTTTAAAAGATCTGTTAACGTCAATTTTATGCCGTGTCTCTATAATACGTTTCTCTATAGAGGAGCTAGATCGTTGCCTGTTATCACCATTAATGGGTTCTGAAGATTCCATTTGTTTCTGGAGCCATTTAGGAATATGATCTGAAGCCCTTACTTGCAGAGGTCGATGAGTCCTCCCTATGTATGTGTGTCCACGCGTACATTCAAGTTGGTAAATACAGTGGGATGTGACATCATTTTTCGCATGTTCGAAGGGCTTAGATAGATATATTGGCTTTACATGCTCTATTATTATTATATCAGCTGCATAAAAAGTTTTTTTGACAGCAGCGTTCAGTCTTTGTCTAGTTATCAAGCTGCTCTGATGCCCCATCTAGGGTAGCCTGAAAGACACGTCTTTCTTAGGGGCAAGTTGGATAGTGGATATTTGTGTTATGACTACCTTATATCTCCTAATGAACTTGTCTTGATAATTATTATCAACCAGAGTTTGTGTCAATTTTCTTTCTTCCTCATTAAGTGAGTCTTCAGTGCATATTGGTATGTAGAATTCCTACTTCTGTCTTGGCTGGAGAGGGATAGACATTTATTTTATTTATTTAATTATTCTATGTACTTTTCTCTCATTACTACGGTTATTATTATTACTATTCCCACTCTGAATGGTTTCCACCTGTCCCACTTGCTACTCTAAATCCAAAAATATTTCTACAATTTTGAATTCTATCTTATCAAATTTCACACCTGTTATGTAACATTTTATATTGGCCTGCTAATCCTATATTATGCATCCCTTTCCAACATCTATACGTCTTATGAATTATTCTATATATGACATTAATTGTTTTGCTGCTTGACATTTAACTATGATTATAATCACAAGTATTTTAATTCTATTTGCATTTCATACTACTACTACTACTATTATTATTTCATGTATTCACACCTTTGATCTAATTCCCACACCGGATATAATTTCTTAGAAACCATATAAATATATATATACGATTGTACAGCATGATAATAAATTCGTTGAAAAGAGTCTCTTCGCTGAATATTGTGTTCCTAATAACACTTATTAATCTAGATATGGCATCGGGTAAGGTTATTTTAGACCGTGACGATTATGTCAACAAATTAAACAACACTTTGTGGCAAGGGAAACATTTTTCAAATTAAACAACTAGAAAGACAGAATGGAGGGTATTGAGAATGAGTTGAGAATGAATCAAACCTGATGGTAAACGGTTTTCCGCCTGGGTTCATAGACAAGAACCTCAAATCAAAGAAGGTTTCCGAACAGGTTCAATCCATCATGAAGAAGATACTTCTGCTTAATCTAGAATTCAAAAGTGACACTGAAGCAGAAATGCTTCGTAAACGCCTCTGCAAACCTCTGAGGAAGACATACTTCGCTGAGAGCCTACGACTAACGTCTTCCTGCAAGCAACTGTTCAGCCAGAATGCGAAAGACAATCTGTCACATTGGGCCACTTCAACGTGCATATACCAGTTTACTTGCTCTTGCGGAGCTGAGTACATTGGCTGTACCATGCGCCGACTTGAAAAGCGCGCTCGTGAACAATATCCAGCCTGGCTAGTGAAAGGAGATCGAAAACATACATATAGTTCAGTGACATAACACCTAGTCAATTCAGGACATTTGGCGCCATTTGAGAAATCCTTCAAAATAATATACAAGATTTAATCAAACCTATGAAAGGGAGTAAAATTAAGACATCTGGGCATAGCCAAGGCACTAGCCATCCGAAATCTCGAACCCACGCTATGTATCCAAAAGAAATACGTCCAACCCTTGTCCCTGCCATGGTCATCATAAAGAGGTTATTCCTCTAATAGTGACTATCTCATTGGTTTTCTTATCCCAACTTCTTGTTTATTCATGTTATTTTCAAGTTTTTCTTAATACCTATTTACACTACCATATTTTCATATCCGGACTTCCTGTCTATGTTGTTTTTTTATTATTTCTACATATTTAATCCCTGATTGCATGAACAATTATTCGTCACATTAGTTATGATCCCACTAGATTTTTTTTATCCAAACATTCTGTCTATTTTTGTTATTTCTACATTTCCAACCCCCATTTGCACAATATGTCAATCTCCTCAGTAATTATGATGCTACTTTGTCTGAGCTTTATCCGTCCCCCTGTTTATTATGGCATTTTAATTCCTAATTGTAATTTTATTAATTTGACCCTTGAGCGAAAATTATTCTGGAACTTCCCTACCCATTTATTATAAATACACACGAATTTACAGCCTAGTTGATGTTGAATTCGTCGAAAAGAAAGTTTTCTTCTTCGCTGCAACCGTCTTTTCTTAATAATTCCTATGAGAATCAATTAGCAAAAACTTTGAACAAGTTAAAGGAGAAATCTGTTGTTACTTTGTGTGTGTATGAACATCTCAAGCCGCCTGGTCCAACCATCCCTCGTTTAAATGGTCTTCCTAAGGTGCATAAAGCTGGTATCCATCTGTAACCTGTATTGGGCATGCTGAACTCTACTTATCATTTTCTACAAGCAAATGACTCGCTAAAATGCTCTATTAGTTGTTTCAGTCATGAATTACCTCACCATCAATAGTTCTGATTCAAAATATGAATCAGTTTTATTTTTATTTCAACAGCAATAAAAGAAGAAGAGGAATAATGTCTGCTCATGTGACTACAGAGAGAAAAGACACTTTCATTTAGCTCACCTCGATTTCGTAGTCCTGGACTACAGAGCACATTTCACTGATAATTCCATGGATAACTTCAAATGATGATGGTTTTGTCAAAAATTTTCTTGCAAAATTTACTGTTATCATACAGAATGAACATAATATGGAGGATGTGACATTTGAGGTTTTCAGTGGTGAATTCTGCCCACCTGACGCACTTTCATCGCCTTCATTGTGAGGTTTGTTAATTTCCTGTGGTAATAAAAGAATATAATACAATTCGAAAATTAAAAGTGGTGAGGCATGAATTTATTTATGAAATTAGAAAAGAATGCGAGGTTAAGGTGCTTAAATAAAATTCAAGTATTGGTTTTGTAGGGATTTTCTTTGATTGGATGGGGGATTTCATCGTGAGCTGACACCAGTTAAAGAACCACTAGAAAACCTAGGAGTATTGGGCAGCTGTTTCGTTCTAGTTTGGGACTCTTCAGCAGTACGTATCCACCGGTTGGGGTTCGAACCCAGCACCTTCTGGTTACAAGGTGAGCTAGCTCGTAGACCATTGAGCCACTTGGACCCTACCCAACGGCTAGCCCATGAATTCTAACTTCTGTCGGGATTACCTACAAAAGCAATACTTGAAAACCAATCTGATAGTCACTAGCAACTGACCCTGGCCGTGACCGGTAGGGTACAGCAGGTTGAAGATGAGGCAATAACTCATAGAAGAAGACATTACGAAATGGTCGCGCTATGTCGTGAAGTGGTAGAAGTTAGAATTCACGGTTTGGCCATTGGGTCGGATCCCAGTGGCTCAATGGTCTACTAGCTCAATAGCCTTCTAATCAAAAGGTACTGGGTTCGGGCCCCAACCGGTGGGTGCTTACTGCTGGAGAGTCCCAAACAAGGATTAAACAGCTGTCCAGTACTCTCAGGTTTTCTAGTGGTTCTCAAACTGATGCCAGCTCATGATGAAATCCTCCATCCAGCCTAAATAATAGATGCAGTATTGTTTAAAGAGGATTTTATCAATTATCTTCATCCAGACATTGATGGAAAACAAAAGACTTAGTTCAGCGAAGAGTCTCTATTCGGCGGAGAATTCATTCACTTAGCTGTATAACTGCATTTATATATAATTATTTTTCTATGTGTTTATGTATAATGGGTTTGTCCAATAAGCATAAAAATTAGTTGAGGTTATTGTTGTCACGACTTTCCAAAGTGTGATGAACAATCAAGTTGTAGCTCGGGGATGGAGGTGAAGACTCGTAAGAGGATAGTGGTGAAGTGTTGTCAAAATGCATAGTTCTTGATGTTGACCGACACATAAAAGCAGTTGAGTAGGGATAATACAGTTACGTAATGAGATGAACAGTTTGCTGAGTGAAGTGGGATTAGGATGCATATAGAAACAAAGGAGAATATGGAATAATTTAGGAGTTAGAAGAGCAGGCACACAAAGATCAAGTTAGTAGAAGTCAACACGGCTATTACCATGATGGTAGAACTGGTTGGATGATTTACTTTTTTATACATAACTCTGGTTTCTTCAAATGAATGGCTAAGGCTTCAACAAATCGCAAAGGAGACGAAAGTGTATTACCTTTGGTAGGTTGTTCTTCACTTTGTAGATCACTTTGAAGCAAGAGGCATTTGTTTGAAAGGGAATGATTAGTGCTGACAAAGTGATCGACTATCACACTCCTTACAGAGCCACTATTGTAACATTTGTAATTTTTAGAACTCTTAAATAATTCCTTATTTTCTTTTGTTTCTATGTGCATCCTAATCACAACTCATTCATGAAACTATTCGTCTTATTGAGTAACTGTATTACTCTTATTCAACTGTTTTTGTATGTTGATTAGCATCAATAACTGTGCATTCTGACAATGCATCACCACTATCCTCTTACCAATATTCACCTCCAGCCACAACGCCAGTTACAATTTGATCAATCATCACATTTTTGAAATGTCGTGACAACAATAACCCTAACTTCTTTTTATTCTTATCGAGCAAACCTAATATACACACATACATGCACACAAAAATAATTATATATCAATGCGACTGTGTACAGCCAAGGGGATGAATTTGCCGCGGAAAAGAGACTCTTCACTGAACAACGTGTTTTATTTTCATTTAAGGATATTTAACATTGAAAATGGTATGAAAACTTCCGCTTTTAATATTGCCTCTTTGTTCTTCTCTAAAAACAGAATATACATATATATCGATTTTTATTTCCTCCTACTGAGATCCTGTAGGTTATGAGAACCTGAGTCCTAGTGAAGTGAAGGTTACAGTCGGTATTCAGTATTTCAAGTGGGTAGATATTATCTACAAGACAGCTGATCTGCATAACTCGTCGCTTGTTAATGATTAGTGTCCAGTTGAAGTATCCAATACAGTTCGTCCTACAGGAGGTCAATCGCCAGCTCGAATAGCTCAGGCGGCACTGGTGACGAGAGTTCGAACCTCGGAAGGGCCATGAGTACCTCCCTTCAAGGTTGTAGATATGCCTTGCTGACTAGTGGTGAGTGCTAACTAGCACGAAACCTAGTTCGAGCAAGGCTTCCTGCCGATTACCTCAAACCATCTAATACCAACAGTTCATACGTAGTGGGTTAGCCGTCACATTGCGAACTTGACTGATAGAATTCAGTCTGCATCGAACAAGGGACTAGATACACTAAACTAATAGCTGACTAGTGTTCAATAATGATGTTACGTTTATTCTGTGTGTGGATAAACACGACTAACTGGGATGCAGATGTATGTCATAACTCACATTTTAAAACACACCAAATGGACGACAATCCCAGTCATTACTCAGTACCAAAGATATCAAAATGAAACATAATGCAGTGTGTTTTAATGTTAGGGTTCCTGCATACATTCAAAGTGGGAACTACATAGTTGTTAATATGAGCCATTCCTAATATCTTATTAAAGTGTTTATTCTTCAGAAGAATAGTCTAGTGAATAATATAATCAGCTGTTGACACAGCGCATGTTAATAATATATATTATTCCCTTGGTTTCCGAGCGTAATATAAGGCTTGAACAGCACACCTCTACTTTGTTCTGTTTTCCACTGTCCTCTTCATCTGGATCACCCTACGAATGCCCATAGTATCTCATGTCCTACTCCTCACACGAATTCCTCCATGTCACCCTCGAGTCAACGACCTACTCGTTACTTCTCACTCAGATTCCATTCAAGCAATGGCCTACATTGCGCACGATGTCACTCGACAGCCTTCTCAACGTATATTCGATCCATCTCCAATTCCTTCGGCATATCCGCTGAGCAATCGGCTCTTGGTAGGTCGGTCGCCAGCCAGAGTTTCGTGTTGCCAGTTCTCTCTGTTAGGGATGGTTTTCTTGATGCACCCTCCAAGTTTCTGACCAATATAGAAGAATTGACTGACTAACCCGACTTTGGGTTGAAAATCCGAATATTGTTCTATATGCTGGTTGAGTGCAGAAGATTTCAAAACTGGTTTCAGGTTGATGAAGGCATATCTTGCCTTTCAGCTATTATCTGGCTTCGACATCCTTACTTGTTCCTCCGGTAGCTGGAACGATGCTTCCTAGATAAGTGAATGAAGTAACCTCTCCCAAATATCTCCCATTGATGGTGATTGGCGCTGTTCGTTATTGCCGTTGGTTTGTTGTCTATGTCACCTCTGTATTCTCTATGTTCATCTGGAGTCCTATCTTCACTGCTCGCGTCTTCAGCCAGTTTGTTTGTTTCCGCCTGCCTGCAAGTCTTCGAGTCTCGGTGACATTAAACATGAAGCATTCACTCACGAGATCCAGATCTTTTAGAGTCTTCTTATCGGTCAGTACGGTGTATTCCTGTCTTCTCACTCCCTATGGTGTGCCCCATGATCCAGTCTATCACAATTGGGAATATCATAGTTGATAATGGGCAAACAACCTTGTCTTACTCCTGTAGTATATATAAATATATATAGAATATTCTAGAATAATCATCATCAACAATATTCGTAATTTTTGTCGAAATACTATCGATTTGTTAAGGTCAAAATGGAATTACCACAGTTCAAGAAAGCTGCATAAGTTATAATAATAAGCATACAAATGTAATAGTAAGTAGAATACAAAATAAAATTAAGCAAATCTCTACAACAAATTAAGGATCGGTTAGAGAACCATTGAAAACCAGGGAGTACTGGACAGCTGCTGTTTCATCCTAGTTTGGGAATCATCGGCAGTACGATATCAGTCTGTGATCAACTCGTAAAACATAACTAATCCTTACAAACCAAACTATAGAAAATTAAGGATCATAAAAACCTCGATGGCCGGTTAGTGGGGTAAGGAAAACGTCTGAACTAATTTCTTCTTTTGGATACATAGATTAGGCTTGTTGGTGTAGATTCCAACAGCCAGGCTCAGCAATATGTAATAACCAAAATTTTGAGGTGAAATAAGGCTTAATTGGTTAGTATACGGTAGATGACTTTGAAAGCAGCCTTTTTTACATCAATGTTGTGTTCTAAACCTACGAGATGAGATATGGAAGAACTATGAATGAACTCTGTTTGTCCCTTACCTAACCTATCAACATGCAGGATGTTGTTCAGATATCCGACGAAAAATACGCAACTAAATGGCTCCACAGGAACAGTCAAACTGATAGATGCGCCTGGAAGAGGGGGAATTAGATGGTTTATCTTTAACTTCTGAGAAGAAAATAGGGGAGGTTTTGAAGAGACAGCTTACTTCAACAACAATGAATGCTCATTTTATCACATTCCTTAGGCGTAACGTCAATATGGCACTGATGTCATCATCAAGAAACTGAATTTGTGAGAGCAAGGCCTCAATCAGAGCTGTTAGTACTTTGGCCTGCCTAATTTCATTGATCTTGACAGATCGATAGTATTTTAAAAATTACCAATATTGTAAGCGAGAATTATCCTAGAATATTCTATATATATATATATATATATATATATATATATATATATATGATTGTGGAGCGGCAAGAGGAAATTATCGAAAAGAATATTCTTTACTCAAATTTTCTTTTGTCCTCTAAATATTTTAATTGCTTGAGTAAAAATGAAACTTAATTCTGTAATGTAGTTTTAGTTCACATGGATTTTATTCAAATGACAACAAATTATGGTCTCCACTTTCGAAGACATCTCTCATTTATGTATGTAAATGTAGTCAGAATCATTTGTCGTGTAAGAAATTTATAATTAGGAATTCAATTTTATCTAGGATAAAACGCCAAATTAGGTAACAATGTACCGAGTTCAACTCAAATCATAGAAACAAGAGACAAGCAAAATTACATATTATAAAAGAGGGTTGACGCAAAAGCCAAAGATTACGTAATCAAGTGAAAGAGAGACAGTGAAGACATCCACTTACCAGACAGGGCAAGGGAAGACTGATGCTAACTGCTTCTTTCTGAACACATAAATCTGGTTTCAAGCGTTTGATAGAAAATTGCTTCGACAAACTTGAGGAGAATCGAGCCCCCTTGTCTATTGCTAATTTTAAAGGATTTTGCAGTTTCCACTTCATGACCCGTATCGAGGAGATGTCTGGTAATAGCGCTATTATAAGAGTTTGGTTCCAGCTGAAGACGTAGGCTTTTCGGCACATGTTCAGAAAATCGAAGGTGTGGCCTTCTTTCTGTTGTCTAAGATTAATGTGTTCAGAAAGAAGCAGTTATTAGTCTTTCCTTGCCCTGTCTGGTAACTGGATGTCTTTATTCTTTCTTTCACTTGACTACGTAATCTTCGGCTTTAACCTCACCCCTTTGACAATATGTATATCTTGGTTTTATTTGAAATATTCAATTCTAATCACCATTTTTTAAATTTCAATGTCTAAACTACTCATAACCCTGATAACTTGTGAAAATATCAAGTTTATGAAACTCTTGAAATAGGTGTGCTTTGAATCAGTTAGCCTACTTGTAATTCTCGTATTAGATTTTCCGAAGAAGGTAAATTCAGTCTGTTTTTGATGTAGTTGGGTTCTCTGAGCTAGCTGGATGGTTTATTTGAGCATACACTTCAATTTGATGAAGTCAGCTTTCAGATTTCTCTATGAGTTTATTGGTCATTTCTCCTGGTGAGTACCCTGAACCTCATGATTGGTTCTTTTGTGTGTTTTCATACCCTCTGGGCTACTTGTATTAGTATCGGTGTTGATTGTTTCCTTCACCTGAAGCTTGACCATTTGTATGCATGAGATTTCCTTCTTCTTATCGATTGGTAAATTTCGTCTATATCAGTGTGTCTTTTGATTGACAATTCACTGGAATACCAGACTTCTAAAAATTCTTTAGCATTCTTGGTCTTTCCTCTGTCTAATATTTGAACTTTTCAAGAGTTGGTATGTAAGGGTTAGTTATGTTTTTACGAGTCTGACCACGGATCAATATCAGTTAGAGAACCACTGGAAACCAGCTACAGGTAGTACTGGACAGTCAGATGTTTCATCCCAATTTGGGAATCGTCGGTAATACGCACCCAATGCCAGGGTTTTGAACCCAGGACCTTCTGGTTACAAGTCAAGCATTCAGCCACTGGGACCCTACTCATCACTGGTCTGTCAGTGGATTCTAACTTCTACCAATTCATGATTTAGTGCGATTGGAACCAACCAATGTCATCAGTGGGACATCAATCCTCACACTTGACTGCATGAACCTCTTGGTTCTCTAAGTGATGTCAATCCGTGGTTAAATTCGTAAAAAACTAATATTCGAACAATCAGTACCTGTATAAGTAGCCTAGAGGGTGTGAAACACACAAAACCAAACAGTCACAATGTTCAAGGTTACCAGAAGAAATGACCAATGAACCAGTGGAAAAATCTAACAGCTCACTTCATCAAATTGAAGTGTATGCGCTGAAGATGTTGCCTAGTAAGTAGGACAATAAAAGCTTCGCAAATAAACAATCCAGCTAGCTCAGGGAACACAACTACATCGAAATCATCCACTTGAACTACAAATCTTCTCCATTATATCTAAATTCAATCTGTGCACAACAGACTTCATATCTTTTCTAACAACCAACGTTACTTAAGGAATCAAAAATCAATAAAAAGTATTTTAAAAAATTCGAATAACCCACCCATACTAGATTTGAACTGGTCGGATTAGAAGTAATACCGATTTTTAAATGATCATCACTGGTTATTTGATTAAAACTTTGGTGAACAGTAATTGTAATAAATATAATAAATATACCCAGAATATTCATCTCTTCTTAATAAGAAGTGTGATATTTTCAAAGTGAGTATTTAAATCTTTGTAAAATTTAAACATACTGCGGCAATTTCAAAGTTCAATTTTCAGTTGTTTCTATCTAAATTTAAGATCGAATATCAGTTATACTGTAACAAAGTTTAAATATATATTTATTTATATTTCTTTCTGCTATCGTATGACATTCTAAAGTAAAGATAAACATACTTATGTGAAGCTGAAGTCTTATTGGTTTGTAAAAACTCTCTTATATGTCTTTCCATCTAAGTTGTGTCAGTAATCAGAGGAAGAAAAGTTAGAGTTGAACAAGAATACCTTAGAGATGTACATCCATAGTCTATCGCAGTATGCCAGGGACTGGGTGAAAATAAGTTTCAAATCAGAAATCAATAGGTGCTTAGAATGGGAAGTGGTACGCAGATAAGACGAAAGTGTACTGACTTTGGCAGGTTGTTCTTCACTTTGTAGATTACTTTGAAGCAGGAGGCTTTTGTTTGAGATGGAATGACTAGTGTTGACAAGGATTTCGATTATCGCACCCCTCATAGAGCCACTACCACGCTTCTGCAATTATACAAGATAATTATTATTATTTCCTTTAATTCCTAGAGGAATATAGGGCTTCAGCTGCGCACATCTAAATTGTATTTGGTTCTCCGCCAACGTTTTCATCACCTAGTTACACGTCTGCTCACATGCCTTCATTTCCTGTTCACATGACCTCCTCCATGTCAGCCTCGCACTCACGACCAACTTCCTGCCTCTCATTCTGGTTCCACTCGAGCTATGTCCTGGCGTGTGATGCCACTCACTTGATGGTTCTCTCAGAGTATGACCAGTCCACCTGCATTTCTTCCTGCATATTTTTTGCACAACTGATTCCTGCTGGTTTGGTTCACTCCCATAGCTCCCTCCCTGTTGCTGATCTATTCTGACTGGCCATCTGATCTTGAGTAGCATTAGGCGAAGACAGCTGTTGATGAAGGTGTGTAGTTTGTTTAAAGGGCCTTTATTGATTCGGCGTGTCGCCAAGTTTGTGATCCAAAAAGTAGCACTGACTGCCTTCACATTGGAGTTGAAAATCTACATGCAGGATAGTGTTCTTGAACCCTTTTGGACAGGATACCCGTCGAACAGCTGATACACGTGGCACCACAGTAACAGAAGAACTGGTATACGCACGTAGAGGTGGTCAGATTCGAGATCTTGTCTTTAGGGCCTATGCAAAACACAACTCTCAGCGTTGCTGCGAAGAAAGTTCTCCCCAAAGAAGCCGAAATTCTCGTCTAAAGGACATCACTGAGTAAGTTACCTATGAAGTCGAGGTGCACGTAATGTTTCTTTTTTGTTACAGATGATGTCCCCCGTTTTTGAATTTTCGACTTGATGATTTTGTCAGCAAATCTCGGTGGATATCCAGTTTGAATAAAGATTTCTTTCAAAGAGTTTAATTCTTCTTCCTTCCAGAGCATTAGGACTGCAAATGCATCGGACGCAGATAGCAAAAGATATAGTTAGGTATCGTTTGCTAAATTAACCTAAATGCCGATAGGTATCATACTCATGTACAATTTGAAAATCTACTCACCCAAACAAATGGTCTAATTACATTCTCTGACCAGGACCTACAGCGATTTAAACCAACCATGATCGATTTCTGTTATCGATATTTGAATACAAAAACAAAAGTCTACATCCATTTAACAAAGAAGCACAGATAGCAAGTAAATCAAATGAAACATAATAGAGAACTATGGATAATCCGTGCAGATAAAGGGGGCTAGCGTACTCCTCATGGTTAGAAAAGCTTATACAGAGAAAATTAGCAACATACTGACCAGTGAAAGATGTAAAACAGAACAGACTGAAAAACATCTTAATAATAATAATAATGATATATTCTCATTTTTTGTACATGAGGGACGCCAGCTTACAGGCATCATCAATTCGATAGCGTCGGTGACATAGCGGTTAGGACGCTCGCTGACCGTGCGCATGGTCCGGGGTCCGATCCCCGGCCGACGCACTCCTTTACCTCGCTAAGCCAGAAATAATGCTGGTGAAGAGGAAAGGTTAGGCATGAGGCTAGCAACCACATCCTGTAAAATAAACACTGCTACAGAAACTTCAGGCCTCTAGCTTGAAGCCCTATGTTCCACCGGGGAAAGTGAAGGAAAAAAACAATTCGATAAATTACACATACGACTAGTAAGGATATTTAGTGATGATAATATAATAAGGTACATATTTACTCCTACCTATATAGGACTTACCAGTTGTACAGGCATGGATAAGTATTATTTAAATTACATAAATTTGATTTATGGTTAAATTACATGGTTGCTGTCTTTTTGTCTTTAGTTTGTGGGAAAAATCTGATAACTAGTGATTCAATGGACCACATCAAGAAATATAGAGATATTGTCTTCGCATTAACAAAAAAACCCAAGTATGTGTTGGATGGATTACAGATACTTGGGAAAATAAATAAAGCTTGAAGTCGTTTCCCTCATATAACAATAAAATGCATCTTATAATAATATATTCTCTCCAGCTGACATGCATCATGAATATGATAATAACGTACACATGGAGTAAGCATGTTTACAATTTTTCACTGACACAATATATATCTATCATATATATATATATATATATATATATATATATAACAGGGAAGGTAATGAATAATGACAGTAAGCGCACTTTGCATAAGTTAAAACAATTTATATGATATAATCTTAGGCCCATAATTACTGTTTGAATTTGTCGAAAATGCGCGCAACAACCGAGTTTTGTGTTACATTTGGTCGATATGGTGGGCTCCTCACAAAAGTATGCAAATGGCTTATATAACGTTAGTTAGTTAACCGCAAATTGTGTTTTAAGCAATATAGTCTGCAATAGGCTCACCACAACAGTTAGTATCCATTTAAGCATGCAGAGAAGGATTAATGATTCAGTAACCGGTGGATTTTTGGTTTTTTTTCGGTCTGGAACCAGAATGACCGCGAACCAATCCATACAAAATGTCGAATTAAGCATGGAGGAGCAGAATATTATCATCGAATGAGTCATTGGGATTTGAAATGCAGCTGTCAGCATATTTTCTTTACTTCAAAGATATCCAGGTTTATTGGCGCTGTATAGGTAGTGGTTTGGATTTGTCATCACGATCGACATATGGTGAATATCCAGATATGTACTACAACTTGTTTGCCGTGCGGATTTAGTTAATAACATCTTGTGTAGGGTTTGATTACTCTACGATTTTGACATATTCCGCAAATTGTCGCCGTGATCATGGGAAGTATGAATAGGCTTTAAATGCATTATTTTGTTGGCTCCTACCTCCACTGAGTATATACAACGGGAACTGTGGATTTATGTATTTTCTCGCCACTGTAGATAGAGCATCACCGCATTCTTTTTGGAAAGGAGAGCAGATGGTGGATTATATATAATGTCCAAGTAACTTATGTCTTTCCTTGTGATGCTGTGGTAAGTTTCGACCTTATTTTCTCATATTTCATTCGTATATCAGTTATGGTTCACTCTTTGTATCAGGTAGACATAATTCGATCGACTCTAATTTGTATGGGTGTTATTTTCATGACTGCTGCTTTTTTGTCTGAAATTATAAATACAGGCAAAACAAACAACAGGTGTAGTCTCTAAGTTCATGCATTACATGGGCCTATGATTTCTGAAGATCTTCCGTGGAAATTAGCACTGGTATCGCTTGCAAACTCACTTATTGTGTCATTAAGTGCCTTTTCAAAGGAGGCCAATGTGCTTGCTAGTCGCATTTCCTTAGGTAGTTTGTTCCATATTTGGGCATACCTAGTCAAGAAAAACTTTTGCCTGGTGGCTAATTTACATTGTTCTATAGCCACTGTACCTTTATTGTGTCTTGGATTATGTCCAGTGTCTTCTAAAAACCGAGTACAATTAGCAGAGGTATACACTATATGGTTAAGAAGCTTATAGAAAAGTACCAAATTTAGTCGCAGTCGTCTTAACCATAGTGTTTCTAGTCCTAGGATTTCACATCTGGTGGAGTCGTTTGTGCCGTTTTCGGTTCCGAGTACTTTTAGAGTGAAGTACCTCTGTAGTCCTTCTACTTTCAATCTGTCTTCTATGCGCACACTACTAAACATGAATGAGCAGTAATCTAGGAATGGGCGCCCACAAACCTTGTACAGTAGTATTCTGGATTCACTTCTGTAGAAGTTCCTGAGTAGAAAACCAATGAGCCTGCGTGATTTCGATACTTGTTTGGAGATATGCTCCGAAAATGATAGATTATGTGAATAATTCAGTCCTAGGTCTAGTACAGATTTTAGTTTGGGGATTTTGTAGCCTTGAATTGCTAGGCTGAGTTCTTGGCTGCAACAGCTTATGCATAGCTAGTCACACTTTTCGACATTAAACTCGAGTCTTCAGGTGTCATACCACCTATCCATTTTTATCAGCTCTTCATGTATGGAGTTCATAGTTGTACCGATATCTGTATTTGTGAATGTATAGGTCACCTTTAAGTCATCTGCATACAATATTAGTTTGCCTATAATAAAGCATTCACATATACTGTTTATGTATATAATGAAAAGAAAGGGGCCCAATACACTCCCCTGGATGTCACCACTGCTGATTGGTCTAGACGTGGAGGTCATCGAGCCAACTTTTGTTGTCTGGTTTCTGTCACAGAGAAATGATTTTATCCAGTTGTGGATGTTCTCAAAGGAATGAAAACCAAGCAGTCAATCAGCCATGAAATTTATGATTATACTCGACAAACAGGATCAATCATACCAAGACTACATGGTTTACCAAAGATACATAAAGCCGATCTCCCATTGCGTCCAATTTTAGATATTCCAGGTTCCTCAGACCATTCAGTTGTGAAATGGTTCGCTGATATTTTAGAACCTGTAGGAAAACAGATGCGCCACCATTCGCTTCGTGATAGCCTTCAATCCGTTGACTGTATAC